TAAATCGTAAAGCCAAACGTCACGTAGTGGCTTTTTCTTACGGTGTAGCCACACCATTGTACGCATTACACCGACTAGTGTAATCCACACCTTTGTCGGTCACACCATCTTGTGTGACCGACCTTTTCATACCAGGGTACGTGTAAATTCGTTACACCTAACATGTGAAGATTTTAACTGCATTATTTTACGCAAATCTGCTTATCTCGAGTAATTCGCTCCAGCATTAGTCTCTCTGCCTAAGCATTTCAAAATATCTTTCATCACACCATCAGCGCGCTTGCCTCACCAACTGTTTGCGTAAGGACAGCAGTTCACACAGCCAAGCAGCACTACAAGTCCTTTTCCTTAGCTGCATAGAACGTCGATAAACAATTCTAGGGCCTGACAAAAAACGCTATGTCCCGACGAGTTTCCCAAGTGTCTAAGTCCGTTGGATTGCTGCGCCACAATTTCGGCAGAGTGTTAATGGTTCAACTTACGCTTTTCACGAGTTCATCGATTTTTGTGATCGAGAATCGTCTTAAGCACCCGACGACGCGCTCCACGAGATTTAATAGCAAATGTGGGATTAAATGTAAAAACGATTGAGCGACTCTGGAAGTGGCCCGACTCGAACAAACTTAGGTACTACAGCAGCGTTACTTGACGCTTGTAGATCGCTGAGAGAGCATTCAGATCTCAAACCCGGTGTTTTGACCCAATGGTTTTGCCCAAAGATGAGTTAGGAGTCCTGCTATGAACGATGGTTCAAGTATGTTCATGGTGAATTTGTTTGACTTTGAAAGGACAAGAGTCTCGTTATCTGGCTTGCGAACGCGTGTTGCGCTCTTTTGAAGAGGCAGGCTCTGATCTCGAGGTGCTTCATGGTGAGTACCTTTAGCCTTCAAGCGTTGTAATCAGTATAAAGCAAATCTATGATGATACTTTAGCGTCTGCTCGCCGAGAGGAAATTCCTGGGTGCAAAGTTGGTAGTTCTTCGCAGTAAAGGGACGAAAATATATTGCGTTCACTAATTTCATCATATCGGCAAAAAATAGTATGTTTTCAATAAGAAAGTAATGCCTTGTTTACAATTGTACTTAGTGAATTAAATTATAGTTTCTTTTTTTTTGTCTCTACTTATTTTGCAGATTAATTGATATTTTTCTTAGTAAGTAATTTACTTAAAGCTACATTACAATATTTCACATTTACATATATCACTAAATCTACTAATTTTTATTCCAGCTTTTACAAAAAATCAATTAAATACTTTAGCTCACCAGGCTAATCGTCCCTTCTCGACAATATTCAAGTAGTATACCATGAGCGACCTGGGTCGGGAGGAGTAATCCGGTGTCATCGGTGGCGTCATGGACGCAGTTCCGCTGACAGCTTCAGCTGTAGGTGCTTTAATAGAGCATATTCATTGAAACGCCTTTAGGCGCGCGCTTATTGCTTCGGGTTCTTGCAAATCAAGGTGTTGCACGCCCAAGCAGCGACATCAGCTTAATAAGCCCGTCCTGCATGCCCTGGGGAGAATTGGAAAATTGCTGCATCCTCACCGAGGATCAGTCGTAACGACGCAGGCGTAAATTGATTACGAGTGTTCTCAAGTGTAGCGGGACAGCCGTAGCTTTGCTTAAAGAAAGCTTACCAAGGTAACCAACCTTACATTCTGTACTAAAACCAGTACGAGCATAGCATATTGCAATCCGCTACCTCCAAGAGCCCCCAAAACTATAGCCAAGGCATATACACTATTCCGTTCAGGATATTTTTTTGTTTCATTCTATATCTAGAAACTTATGTTTTCCTTATTAAATAGTAAGATCTAATAAATATGCATAATTACTGGCCGTCCAGCCACGTAGTGGCTTCTTGTTTCAGTAAAACACCATTGTGTGATTACACCAACTTGTGTAATCCATACCTTTGTACGGTCACACCATCTTGTGTGACCCAACCTTTCATATAAGAGTACGTGTAACTCCGTTGCACCTATAGAGTTAGATATGGGCGGCTTTGTCGCTTATAAAACGAAAGAACTAAAGCTTACATTTTAAACGGAAACGTTTATTTACCTTGGGTAAGGTAAAGATTACTTTTGGAGTAAGCGGATTGCGACCCGCTACACTGGTACTGGTTCTAGTATAGAACGTAAGGTCGCTGACTTTAGCTAAGCTTCCTCAAAGCACAGAGCTACGGCAGCTACGCTGCAACACACACCTATTGTCATCTCGAAGAAAGAGCGGAGATCAGAAGCTGCATTTGACTGTCATATTAGTAATATGTATGGATATGGGTAGCAAAGCCCGTACAGGAATGGGACGTCGGCCGCAGCCTCACACTTTGCATAACGTAAGGCTCTATTATAACAGTCAGTAGAGCCACCATACTATGTCAATTCAAGCTAGACTTTATTCTAGAAAGATGACTGGTTTAATAAGTAGCCCTAAGTTCGGTACCTTTGTATCGCGCTCAAAACCATATTTTGTGCGTTAGCTGACGCGGGTTTTAAAAGTTAAGCTATTTTTGCGAGGATCGCGGATTATTGCATCTGGTAGCTCTAGTCGCAATTTCCATGACTGAATCTAGAAAAGACTGGAACCTCTGTGAGAACAATTCATGACCTGTTCTACTACGTATTTTCTGACGAACAAGACAAGCTTGAATAGCTTAAAGGTGGCCCCAAGGCCGAAGAGCTGAAGGAAAGTAGTAAGCGTTAGAAAGGTTGTTAAGCTTCCAAAATGCGCTGGTGGTACACCTCCAGGAATATTTAACCAGGCATCTGTATGCACAATCAGCTCCTACGGTGAGACCGCTATTTCAAAATGCTCAGCTTTTTATTGCAAAGACGAGAAAGTTGCCTCTGTCTGGTAAGATGGTAAACTCGGCCAAGCTCCAAACGAGCCATCTATGAACGCGCTTGCAATCTTCAGCCAGCAAGGTTCGCGCTACAATGGGCACTCACATGTGGTGCTATAAGCAACATATGTCGCGGGTGCTCGCATCACCTAGCTTGTCCAATCAGATCTCCCATGACGGGTAAACAAGTCTCCTGGCAACGAAGACAAAACTTAGTTGAGTATGTTCCGAAATTTATTACCCGTATTATTGATATGGCGGTTAATCCATCTCAAAGTTGTGGCGCTAAAAGCTTCGTGTAGGGTCTCCGCACACGTGCGGGTCACACCAGAACCTTCCGCGTCCATTCTAAGCGCTTAAGAATGAGGGTGGTGTCGTAATAACTATGAACTGCAAACATTGTGTTGAAATGGTCGGTCGGAGTGCGGAATGTAGAAGCGCTTTGAGCGCGCCAGCGGCAATGAAGTTCAGACAAGTCAAGAGAAAGAATAACGGTCGCTATCTCCCTGAGCTGCTGTGTCCGTAGACTCACCCATGTGAGCAATGCTAATTATTTCGGACGTTGTCGTGCTCTACATATAAGCTGTAGCAGCTTCGTGTCTACACCTAACACGCTTCTGATTTTTTCAGAGATAGAAGCATCACTCGTCAAAGCTTCACAACGGTGTAACCTGATCTCTTTTTATCATTTCATGACTTACGACTTGCCTGTCAGGTCATTTCTAGATCGCTTAGATCATTTCTCTGACCACACGCTGTCAAAGACCACAACCTTTACACGGAGCCATCGGCAGGTTCCCGTCGCGATAGAAGCAAGAATCAGATACTCCCACTCGACAGCTTCCATGCCTCTGCGTATTTTCGTTTTTCATGGCAGTTGTACGATGCACGTAATTACACGACACCTTCAAGGCGACCAAACCTTTTACTGGCTCCACAAGTCCCGGTAGGCTAGTGTCGAAAGGCCTGGGCTGTGGGTCCCACCACCCTTGTACAGAATTGCTCTCTTTGTGGATACTCTTAACTTTCACGCGAAACAACATAATGTGTCTCACTGGGCCGCAGTGAGACTCAACGTTTTCTGAGAGGAGTCTGTTGGTCGACTCTATATGAAAACTCGACTATGAGCCGTATATTCCAACGATGGCACCCAGCGCATAGGTGTTTAGTACATCAGAAATGTAATATCTGGGAGTACTATGGTGCTGCTCGGCAGTTGATGTACCACTCTTTCATTCTAAACTCTCGGAAGTTCATCATTTATGACATACCCACATAATACCCCTAAAATTGGAAAGGCGGCATGACATCTCCATTCGATTTTCGAAGTGAGTCCTGTACGCTTCGGTACTTTTATCAGATCATAAAGGTCATCATGGTGGGTACGAAATTATTCACCGCAACTGATTCAACCATAAGTGGTCGCTTAATGACGTGCGAGGTCAATAACCGCTGTGGAAGCCGCTTTTGAGTGCTCGCTAAGGGCCATATATAAAAGTGTATAAGCGTTGCGCCACGGCCAGCGGCTTTGAATTGATCGAGTCGACCAAATCCTAAATCACGATGTGATTTGGTCTGAAGCGTCTTCGTTGAAGGGCGCCCCAGTCTTGCACTTGCGGACGAGCAATATCGGTTCGCAAAGTTAGGTCTAGCTCATCAAAAAGTTGGCTATCGTCGTGAGTGTTCCACCGGAACCCGTTACACCACGGAATGGACACGATGTGCAAAACTCGTGTAGAGTGGGGGTGAAACGTTAAGAACGCTTTAACCAGCAAAAGATTCTAGCGGATGGAGAGCATAATTTTTATTAAAGACGCAGGATTTCAGCGCGTTGGATGCTCATAAGAGCTTGCACTAAGCGTACGTTGTCTATTTCGAAGCAGAATATTCGTTTAATGCGACTTTTTTCATAAATTTAAAGTTTGGCCTCAGAATAAGAAACAAACAAAGAGTTGATTTCACCCTGGCAATTGGCGACAAGTTTTGAGACGAGGCAATGTCTGGTATCAAAGAGAACTGCTCCAAAAGGTTCCAAAGCTTTATTTTGGATCCAGTCAGCGCTCACCTACCTCTTAGGATGTAGGTACCAAACGAGCGCAACAATGTTCAAGCGATAACACTGATTTTAAGAAAGCGGTGAATTTATTATGATGCAGAATATATCACATTTGGTAGTAAGGTTATCAAAGCATGACACTGAGGTTTTACATGGCGGTGTTTACAAGAGAAAACTTCACACTGTTAATGTACAATGTACTCTACGAAAAATTTCGAGATTGTATCGGCCATTGTTAGTATAACAAATTTCTCAGGACATCTTGTGTCCAATAATTGTATTCACAAATGAGCCACGTGGATACAATGTGGAAAATAGATAGCTCAAGAATTCAAAACGTAAACTCATTGCTATAATAAGAACAGCTATTATATATGATCTAGAGAGCCTTGTGGCACAAAAGAAAACGTCTCAGGGAGACAATTTAAAACTAATGTCATTGATTATATATTCAATTATTATCTAGTATTTCAAGAGCAATGCTTACACTTGCTTACAAACACTAGCAGCATCTGTCGCTTGAGTGCTATCGCTTACTGATGTACCACACGCCAAGGACGTACTTCCTAGCTTAAAGATTGCTGGCGTGATGACTTCGTCTGGAGACTTGCCGGATTAATGGCAATATCAAACCCTCGTATCCAGACGAAGTGAATTTTTCCTTCGTTACCCTCAACGAACCTAACGCTTCACACTGCGGCGTCGCTCTATAACTCTGATTTGACGACGGTAGTGCATCCACGAACATTTGGTTGACACGTTCCGGTGGTCACCACCAGAGAGCATTCTATGGCTGCTGATAGCTTCCCAGAGCATTCTTATGGCTGGTGACATCCTCCCAGCGAACGACAACTGCTTCTGAGTCATGCACTGCTAAACACTAATCTTTTAAAACATGTCTTGTTGTACCAAGATAGATACTGTAACGGGGTTACGCGTACCCTTGTGTGAAAGTGCAGGTTGCATAAGATTGTGCGACCGCACATAAGTGTATTACACAAGTTAGTGTAACAACATAGTAGTGTGGCTACACCGTAACCACGTGGCAGGATTGCCAGTGAAAATGCATATATTACTATAATAATTAGGTATTGCTATATTAATCAGGAAAACTTGGGGTTTTAGACATCTGTGGCTCTGCCGCAATTGAGATAATCAATTACAGTTTCTGTGACGGGGGTCACACGTACTCTGGTAACAGATGTGTGTGTCACACGAGATGGGCATGGTGTGACTGCACCCAAACAAGGATACGGTATGTGGCTGGGTAGCCAGTAGTTATGCATGTAATTAGATTTTACTATATATATTTTAGTAAAATCTGTACATTTAAAATCAGGCGGCTTTGCCGCAGATAAAGATAAATAAAAGTAGTTTTGGATTTTAAACGGAAGAGTTAATTAGCCTTGGGTTAAGGCAATAATTACTCT